CGCCAGGTTTCGTCTTTCGCCGGGTTTAGTTTCGTCTTTCGCCATTTACCAAAAATAGTTTCGCCTGCCAACACTAGTGCCCTAATTAAATGACAGAAATAAAATTTATGTATAGATTCACTACTTTTCCTATAGCTAGATCAATCTTGATTTCATGCTAGTTTCTGTTTAAGGGGTTATATCACTTGCACAAATAATTACGTACGTACGTACATACCGTACGTGGAGCATTAAGTAGTATCACTATAGCCTAACACCAATGGAAACATCACGAATTTTTTTTTTATAAGATTACAAGGTAAAATGCTACATGAATCTACATAATTTTATGTAACAAAACATAATATGTTACAAATATTTTACGGACCTTCAGTAATACTACACAAAAAAGCATAAATTTATATAAATTGTTCAGTGACTTTATGCTTACATAAATTTATACCAAACAATTGCATAATATTATTGTTATTTATGTAGTGCTACATAAATATATGGACCTTTGAAGTTTGCGATGAAGCTTGGTTATTCAAAAATAGCTATTAGTGAAAAAATTGAATTATAATGGCAAAGACTTTATTAGTTAGAATCAGATTCGATTATCAATTCTCGAAGGCAAAGCAAAGATACTTGTTTTTATATAACATTCATTCATAATTATTTATTGCGTACATGCAATAAGTTTACAAAACCGAATTTTAAGATTGTAATGCAGATCCCAATTAAAATTAATGCAGGGATGATTTTTCTTTGCATGCACAAAGGTCATCAGACTTTAAAGAAATCCAATACAGGAAATAATTTGAAATTGTAATTTAATATTCTATTATATAATTATGATAGTATTCAGTAATTATAATATCAAGCAGTTGTCAAATTTAAGCACTAGGAATTTTAAGTTTATTACGTGCATATTTAAGGCATTTCCATATTAAAGTATCACATAATAATGATACAACTGTGATACCCTAAACTCACTGGATATTAATTGTTAGTTATAAATATGTAGGAACTAAACGTTATCCAATTCTTCGTAATTGCACGCATATTCAAAAATTCGTCGCAATGCCGTCTAAATTTTCTTACATTCTTATTATTAGTTTAGTCATACTTCCAATTATTCATAATACATTTAACAATGTTCCTGTAGTCGATACGCTTAACAATGTACATCAGGAAGATATAACTTCTAACGCTGCATTTGGCATTAACGGTTACCTTAGCAGCAATATGTCCAGCAATAACGATACAATCAATTCCGATACTATTTTTTACATACGCGGTGAAGTTAATAATACAGTTAACGATGTATCTGCGGACGTACCCAATATAAATGCACCTAATAATACAGTTGATAGTGCAGACAACCATTTTTTTCACTTTTCAGAGAAATAGTGTCCGATTTGCTCCGGACAAAATATTTACTCACAAGAGTATATAGTACTATAAAACGGAAGCTGTTGAGGTTCAGAGCTCTGATATCTAGATTTAATTCTATAAATTTTTACAAATATACCCATTTACTATTTAAAATATTTAGTACATATTTCTTAAGTGAAATTAGGTTTTTTGATAATTAATTATGCTAACATCTACTTATTTTTGTTAATATTTATCGGCTTTTTTAACTAATTAAACCAAACATTATTACAATATCTAGTTAATATTAGCATATTTAATAGTTAACAAATTTAATTTTATTTAGAAATTATGTTAAATTAGGTTCAAAATACATTGTTCTATAAATTTTGTAGTTGAAGTCGAAATTCAAATCAGAGATTTAGGGTTAGATCTAAAAATTTTCTGAAATGTTCTTTCTACTTAAATTATCAGACAAAAATTGTTTAAATAGTTTTTAAAATTTAGAATTCTGATTTTTAATATTTATATTTGAATAAACTTGTTTTTTTATAAAAACATTAATAACTAAATTTTTAATCTTTTCTAAAGATAATAAATTTATAAATGAATATTTTTTAAAAAAAAATGATTAATTTCAATAATTTATGCAATTTACCTTGCTTACTATATATTCAATTTATTTTTTTATAAAGCGTTATCCAAAATTTAGAGTTAAAATATATTAAAGTTGTGCTAGCATTAAAATAATATTGCTAACCTAGTCTATAGTAAATAGACAAAATTTTTTATTAGCAATGTTTTTTAATAATTTTAATCAAAATCAATTAATTTTTGTTTAGCAAACTATAAATCTAATATATTTTGACCCTGAATTTTAAAGATCGTTCTGTATAAGCTATGAAACCTGTACTCAACCCACTTTTATTACAAATTTAATTTAAATTCCAATAAAATTTGAATTTATCACAAAGTAGAAGAAGCTTATTTAAATAAGAGATATATATAAATACATAAAATATAATATTTTTATTAGTTATATATTAAAAATTTATACCGTTAATAATTAACTTTGGACTTCTAAAGCAAATAGATAACAACTTTCTTGAATTTATTTCGATAGAAAATGTCTTGACTATTAGTCAAACTTTTACTGTCATTATGATGTTTTCTTAAGAAAGTTGAAAATCTTACCTGCAATAATTACTATTTCAGTCTTATTGAATACCTTCTCTCGCCCTTGAATAGTTGTATTGAAAACATCATATTCCTTATTTGAACGATTGTATTAGAAACACATGTTACCCATGGTTTGAGTTAAAATTAAAATTTAGAGTTTAAGAAAAATTGTATCATGTGACAAGATTGAAGTATTCTTTATATCATTTAGATACTCATTAATAACTTAGGATTGAAATACAATTATAAAACCTTTTGTACTTTCGTGTTAAGTGTTCCTAATTATCTATGAAAACACTTTCAAAACTATCCTCTCGTTTATTTTGCCTGTTCAACTATTACATACAACTGTATTACTACGCACATGTGACCCTTGCATTTGTTTCCAGTTTTTAAGAAGTAGATTGAAGTTAGCAACTACACAATTACTCTAACTCATAATCCTAACTAAGAAGTAGATTGAAGTTAACAACTACACAATTACTCTAACCCATAATCCTAACTAATAAGTCAGGGCAAATCAACACTTAACATCTCCAATAAACTAAATGATCGTGACATTGTTGGAACATACCCGGTTTGATATTGTTATCGAAATGGTAATTGGAGTTGAAAAGAATGAACATAAGGCATTCATTTGTTATCCAACATCCACTAATATAAGGGGTGCTTATGGAACATATGATATTGGGAAATTAGTGGAAAGGATAAGATTACAGCATTAATTTGAGTATTGATTATGGTTGATCATTGTTAATGAAACATAATTGGATGATAAATATAAGACATTCACTTATTAGCAAAAATCTATAGTGATAAGTGATATTAATAGAACACTTCAGGTTAAATATTGTTAACGGATAGAATTGGTGTTGAAAGGTGAACGTAAGACAATCAAAAATCTGCAGTAATGGATGATACTAATAGAAACTCCAAGTTAGATATATTAACTGGAGTTGAAAAGAAAGCATTCATTTAATATAAAAAATTTGGGGTATTTTTTCTTCCCTTTTGCTTATCTTCAAGTTAATTTATTAAGATAAAATTTACACTTGGAATTATTAATTATAAGTATGCATATATTTGATTTGTCTTGTATAATTTAATTAATAAGTCTCATGACGGGTGTTTAAAATTCAAATTTGAATTTATGCTCTCGGAAAACATTTAAGTTGTTCGAAAAAAAAATTGTTTTTTAATTTAAAAATTATTTATTTAATGTTCTTAACCAAGAACATTGTAAGAGTTTAATATAACTGTAGGGGTTTCACGCAGGTTTGTATATGTAGAATCGTTCGCTTGGCTATAGTACTGAACTGGAGTATCGTTTAGGTACTCCACCGTAGGGTTTTATTTGGAAAGAATACCATACCACGCAGTTTATATTTTACTTAAGCGATTCTTTATTATTATTCTTTTCGCTAACTCATATTAGAGTTTCGCCTTTTTGCTTCTATATTACAGATTATCAATGCGTTACACACATTAGACTATTACTAATTACTAATTGATTTATGCAAATTTGCTACGAATTCCCGGGAACCTGATTTACCCATCAAACATATTTTAATGTTTTAATAATTGTATCAAATTTGGGAGCCCTAATTTCCCCACCAGTTACGATTGGTCGCATGAAATACCATCTTCAATTGGGTAAACTAGATCACGCCACCGCAGCCGCAAAATCAAAAACATCGTTAGTTTTTCT